TATATATATATATATATATATAATAAAAGAAAAAGAAGAACAGCAACTTTCTTGCCCCGACCGGTTTCTTTCTTTCTTCAGGGGGTTTTGTTTATTTGTTACTAGGTGATGTCATAAAGGCTTAAATGTGACGTCTTTAACAATGAGTGTTTAATTGTTACTTTTACCAATGCTTTTATATATTCAATGTAGGTTTATACTTATTAATGAATAGATTTTCTTTTATTTCCCTTTCTGTTTGGGTTGTTTCCCTGTAACAGTAACAATTAAACACTCATTGTTAAAGACGTCACATTTAAGCCTTTATGACACGCACGTGGAACGTACCTTTTTTGGTGGACGCAAACACGACGCAAAGCACGCAGCCCGAAAACTGGCCGGCCAGTTTTTCGCTACGACCTGTCTGCGACAATTAGAACGCCTGGAGCACGCTCGTACATGTAGCACGCAAGACAAAAGTACTGAGTAAGTGCGTTCTAGGCGTGCATGTAACGCAGGAAAAACATGCAGAAATTCCGGGGTATTTACCACGCAAGAGACTCACACGTTCAACTTGCTTTCAATTTATGTGTTAACAAAAGGAGGGTGAGCGCACTTCCTCCGTGCGTTTATGTTACTTCCAAAATGCGTGGCGAGTACTACCACCGTACTTGTGAAGTACGTCACACTAAGACGACGCACGTGACCAGCACGATAAAATGCGTCGCAAGTAGGCTACTTGCTTAGGTGCATCGTGCGCCTATATCAAAGTTGATACGAACAGTCTGCTCTCAGTTCAAATTCGACTTCGGTCGATGGCGCATCCTTCTTGGAAGTGCCATTTTGGAAGCCAAAACAATGAATGATGAAGAGACTCGGTGCTCCCTTTAATATTATTTTGATTATCCGTGCGTTCTACCAATTTGACGCACGAATGTCGTGCTTAACACTTCCGTGCTCATTACGTTTCTCTTCCGTTTCTCTTACTTCGTAAGTACGATTTCTGAAAAGGCACACTTCACTTGCAATATACGTACGGTTATCTCACTCACTGTGTGCGACACAAGTACAGATCGTACGTGCTCCTTGCTTCTTCCTTCTTCCAAAAAGGCGTACTGACCAATTGCGACACACCTACTCATAAAGTACTTACTACTTACATCCGCTGCGATTTAATTTTCATCCTGCGACAACGCTACGCCTGACAAGAACTCCGAGGACGCACGATCTCTAAGCACGCACGACGGGTTGTAAGAGAGGCTTAAGAGTACCAGCCCAGCGCTGCTGTGTCCATCTGAGGTGTTGCGTGGCCCATCGAAGTCGTTGTTCTGTGGTCACGATATTGTCGCGTAAAGGTCTTTGTGTTTAAGGTTGACTTCCCTCGAGCGTCGGCGCACGGTGGGGCTGCCAATCCGGGGATGGTTCCTACCGGATGATTCCCATGGGCTACGACTAGTAAGGTCACGCTGGTATTGCAACCCTAGTGCAGAGATCTTTTAAGTTGTCAATCTGTCGCCCTGGACGCGGCCTATCGTCAACAGAGCCTGTTATGTTGGGGCTTTTAATAAGATTTCTAATGGCGGGTTAGGAACAGCCAATACGCCTTTCTGTATCACTGTAGCTCAAACCGGACTTTACCATATCCAGTGCCGAGAGATATTGTTCATTGATCACATGATAGACGTGGCTTAATGCCATTCACTGGGCTAACAATGGGGTCCTTTTTCGGGGGGGGGGGTATATATATTCATGTTCAGCACAGCACATGGATTGTTTTCTAAACTTAAAATTGCAATATTTTGCTTTAAGTAAAAATTAAAATTCATTTTTTTTTATTTCAAGAATACATTGAAAATACGCTTGATTTAATAGATAATTGTGTTATTTAGTAATTACGTCCCTAAGGATTAGTTGTCTTTGTCTCTCTGTCAAACAAACAATTAAATTACCAGTTGAAACTAAATAATAATAATGCGTGTTGAGGGTATACTTGTATCGCAAGCTCTCCTTTTTATGGACTGTATAGGAACCTATATAGGGATTTAACGACATTCGTTTTGAATACTTAATCCGATTTTTTTTTTTTTTTTTTTTTTTTTTTNATATATTCATGTTCAGCACAGCACATGGATTGTTTTCTAAACTTAAAATTGCAATATTTTGCTTTAAGTAAAAATTAAATTCATTTTTTTTTATTTCAAGAATACATTGAAAATACGCTTGATTTAATAGATAATTGTGTTATTTAGTAATTACGTCCCTAAGGATTAGTTGTCTTTGTCTCTCTGTCAAACAAACAATTAAATTACCAGTTGAAACTAAATAATAATGCGTGTTGAGGGTATACTTGTATCGCAAGCTCTCCTTTTTATGGACTGTATAGGAACCTATATAGGGATTTAACGACATTCGTTTTGAATACTTAATCCGATTTTTTTTTTTTTTTTTTTTTTTTTTGCTTCATGGTAGACTACATGTAGTATGACACTGTTAGATCTTTTTAGTCGTTTTAATGATTATGCACCCGTTTTTAAATCATGTAGCGGTTTTACGACAATCGTTTTCTAACCAATCAAGGTGACAGCCGAGCGTGCTTATATCTATATGAATCGTAGCTGTAGAATATGCAAGAGGCACAGTATTCCATCGTTCTGTAAGCATACGCTGTGTTTATCGCCCAAACGTCTGACTTTCAACTAATCATTGTTTTATAAGCATACGCTGTTTATTTTCCAAACGTCAATTTTTTGTCATTAAATGCTTTCTGTGAGAGGTAAATCCGACGTAACCGTATCAAGGCATTTCACATCGCGTTCATGATGTAATCCATGATGTCAATGGCTGAGCGTTCAGTCAGTGACGTCATTGCTGGTATATTACTAACCAAAATTAGGTTTACGCTTATAGTTGGCAAAACGCGACAGACAAATCAAGGAAGATAAAAGGGTGTGGATTTTATTGATTTTACGTCCTCGGAAATATACTTGTCCTTTAAACACTTTTAGTGGAGCGCCGCAGGAACAGGCGTATCCTCAACAATTTTCCCATACAAAAACCAGCTTAATGATAACGGTGACCAAATCGTAGTTTCAACGTTGAAGACATCTGACAAGTTTCGCAAAAGGTAGGAGACAGAATTGTGATTACAATTCTAAAAAGTGTCGACCATATTGTTAACTAAGTACGATTAAATAAAACTTATTTTAAGTGTTCCCCTTTTCTCCATCTCCCTCTCTCTCTCTCTCACTCACACATCACCTAATAACAAGAATTCAGTGTCCGTGGGAAGCAGAATGTTCAGAATAATAATATTATTGCCCATACTTAAATATTGATACAATTATAATACATTCAACGCCAGGTGCCAAATTGGAATATTAAATGATTACAAGCAAATCGAAACAATAATTAATGTATTAGGTACATTTGTTTCCCCCTTTCCACATTTGATTTTTCCTTATAATTTGGTGAAAACAATTTGTATTTTTTGCAATAATTGATCATTTTATTTTGAACAAACACATCAGGCAAACCATTTGTACCTAACAATCAAAATACAAAAAACATTCATTAATTTAAGTTTCTGAGCCTATACTAGTCATCTCAATAATGTCTAGTCCTCTGTGGATCTGCTGACCCTTGACCTTGGACCACTTGACCCCCCTGGCCAGACAGAGGGGTATATCCCAGGGAACACACCGAATGCACTTAATGAACTTTGACCTATTACACTATTAACCTTTTTCATCTTTTGCGGAAATACGAAGTGCGCATGACAGGAACCGCGCGCCACAGGGGTCATGGTAGTCCTCTGCTGTGTCCAGCATGGCAATGCTAGGTGTAGATGATGTACAAGGTGCGCATATAAAAAGGTCGTATGAAGCGTGCATTGCTTTCTGTCAAACTTAAAAGGTGGCTGAAGCACAGAAATGCGTAAACTGTAGGCAAGAAACAGCTATTTGGACGGAGAATCAAGCAATTAAATATTTTCTTTCTCAGTTTAAATACGATGCGCTTTACACCTAGACTTCACCTAAGCGTCCGAGCCTTGGCTGCACTTTCAATAGTGATGACGAACTAAAGCTTCGGAGTTCTTTTAAATGCTTCCGATAATACAGATATGCGAAAGAGACTCGTTATTTTTTATATTTAAAATTAAAATAGCCAGTAGACTCGTACACAGCTTTCAAGAGTGTGGACAGGCCTACGTCTTCACAATTTTGTACATGTAGGCTATACTGTATATGCAAGCTGTGGCGATATCACCTCATTTACCGGCAGTGTCAATAAAGGGAACCGGAGAAGATCAGCATTGGTCAGAATTGTGCCGGAAGTGACGTGCAGTGGTGTTAGAAACGAAGCTGAGTGGTCATTTTAACATAGAGGTGAACGGCAGGGAAGACGGGTTGTCGGAGGAAAAAGAAGTTATCTAAACAACATGGTAAGATAACTCTCTTTTTTTACGCATTTTGGGCAGAGAAAACTTGTAGAAATAATAAATGCATGATATGAAAACGTGACACGGAACTTGAAGGTGCAAAATCGTGCTTAATTTGCGGTCAACTTGTTTAGAAATAAATGCTGCGTCGACCGCCAGCGCGACAAAAAGCGTAAAGGGGAAATAATTCCCGGGAGTCTATAAATCGTTGTCATGTGGAAATTTGGCATTAATATAATCCGATATGTCCATATCTAAGTATTTTTGGGTGTTTTATGGTATGGGCTGCAATTACAACGATGTTTTAGAGGTCTTGAAGGACCTTGTGAAAACCAGGAAGTAGTTCGTAACTAACAAGTGGAATGTACCGATCTCCGACTGCTGTGCACAGCTGTATCTTTTTTT